TTTTAGTAAACTTTTCTTAACCTACCTCATTTAATCACAACATGTATTGAAACATTTTAACCTCTGATAACTCTAACTCTTGCAGGAGATTTACGCCCGGGAGCGCTTGAAGTTCGAATTACTGGAAATTCTGACGATGGACGGGAAACATTGCAACTCAAGTCGCACCGCAACAGTCGCTTTAGTTACAAAGACAAACGATAAACACACCATGGAGGTGATTAAATCTGTTGCCAACAAGCTGGCTATCATCGGAGACGAACTGAATCATTCATACCAAAAATTCTCGTGCAGTGGAGTTTCTTTGGCTGGACCAAATTCATGCGGGCAATCGGAGGGTTGGTTGAAAATTGCGCTTTTTATACTGAGAGCTAGTGTCTGAAAATCAAAGCAAACAGAGGGCGAGTTGGAAAAGCACGCCGCAAATGAAATATTTTAAGAGGGCCAAATCCCACGTAAAAAAGAGTTGGACAGATGTTTGACAATTACAATATCAGAAATGCAAGGAAAAATGCCTTGTAAAGGAGAGTTAACAACGATAGTCATCTTAAAAGGGATAAGCTTAAATGCATAGTATGTTTGTGACAAAGCCAAGCCCTGTTCTAATCAGTTTAATGGACGAAATTCGGTAGGAGATACCTCACAAATGGTAAAAAAAATTCAGTAATGCGAATAATAAATAGTTTTTTTGTTTTGTTTTGTTTTTTGGCAAAGTCGTGAGCTAAACGCTATGACAATAATAAAGAATTATTGTTATTAAAAATGCAATCATTTGTTATCTGAAAACTCTACAAATTTGTTGAATTTACCCTTCTCTTTTAGCACAAGAATACCATCGAGTTAATAGAAAGCAATTTAGTCTGTTTACGTAACTAAATCATTCGAAGATTTCTGGTAGACTCACGGAAGAGACATAATTGGCACCGCTGAAAAAGATGCGGTGTAAACCGTTCTTTTTATAATCACAAAAATCACAAAATAACAAAAATTCTCGCTTACTCTCTGGATAAATAGCTTCATCACCGATACGAAAACTTGGAAGTTGCAGTGAAAACATTCTTATTAAGAAAACTTGGTCTATGACCGATGAGATCAATCTAGATTAGTTTAGAATCTGAAAACGCATCACATCCAAAACTAAGACAATTTGCATATCCATGCGTCACCATACAGCTGAAAACAACTTCTTTGAAAAAGTGTTAAGTGCAAAATATAACAATGGGGTGGAAAAGAAAGACCCATCCAATAGGAAAACACCTCTTTCAAACTACATCCATAATTGCTCCTTACAAATTCGTATCAAGGACTTTTTCCCTCTACCTTGGAATAAATAAAGAATTCCCATAGCTACGCGTTTTTGTTGAAATACGGTGCCCTTACATGTTCCGTCGTAACTAGAAATATTTGTGCCATGCGAAGTCCTGTAAGAGTGATTGTTTTTTATTTCACTCTTCTAATTCATAAATATATTGGAAAAAATACATCGACAAAAGAGTTAACTTTTCAAAAGCTTTAATTCACACTTACGTACAACATAATTGAACAATATTGACTCACGAAAAACGAACCGATGCGTTAGCTGAAAATTCTAAATTTTATGTCCTTTATTTGGCTTTAATATTCAAGGGAGATGTTAGAAGGTTTTCTGAACTTTTTATCTGAAAGGCAAGCTATAGGCGCTTTGAACATTTTTCCTGATCAAAGAGTACAAAAAGAAACTAATTTTCTTGAGTGTTGAATAGCAAACAGTCCATTCAATGACTTAACATCTGTGAAGAAACCGCTTTGTAATTGTCATAGACTCGCACGAAACATGCAGTGGTAACGAAAAGAATCTCGTTCCGTTAACGTTTTAGTCAAGAATGAAAAGTGGTGACTCTTCGTCCAGATATTGAGAGTTTGACGCACACAGAAGAAAAAAGACTCATGCTCAATGGAAAATGTCTGTTACCATGACAGCATTTTATCTCTGAATCGGTTTCAGATCGAGCACGGAGACAAAAAGCTCTCCTTTTGGACATTTCAATTAAAAAAATTAGCATAATGATGCAAGTTTGCGAGAAATGTTTGGTCAATCCTTGTTATCTTTTGCAGGCAACAGTCTTCTTAGTTATAATTTGTTATTTATTCAAAAAATGAAACTTGCTATAATTAAACATAAAAAAGTATTTGTTATCCTCAGTTTAAAGGCTTCATCTTAAGTCAAAAAAAATTAAAAAAAAATGTTTAAAATATCATCTCCAGATTTTACATCAACCTGAAATCTTGGAACATGGCGTGTTAGTAAGGAGAAGGAATTTAAGGAAAATGTTCTGTTACCTAAATTTATCAATTTAAGCACTGGTCAAGCGCAACAAATGATTTCCATTGGAAATCTAATGCAGATTAGTGTCGGTATAATTTTTTTTCACGATCCGA